TCCTCCTTCTCCTCCTCCTCCTCCCCCTCCTCCTCCTCCTCCTCCTCCTCCTCCTCCTCCTCCTCCTCCTTCTCCTTCTCCTCCTCCTCTATGGGAGCCGAGCTATGGCCCGAAAACCACCAGGCACGGGCATGGACTCCGGGGGGAGGCATCGACCCCCAATCGCCGATTGAGCGCCAATAGGGACCCGATAGCCCCACCCCGCCCAGCAAGGTGCGGATTCACGATCGGGGGCCTATCGCCGATCTATCGGAGATGTATCGCCGATTTCAGGTCGATGCATCCCCCCCTAAGTCAATCCCCTCTATAGTTGCTCCTCAGGACCCCGCTGCCGCCGCGCCCGCGGTCTCTCTGGCCGCTCCGTCAGAGGTCCGCCATGCATCAGACGGGGCTAGGACGAAGTAGCACGAGACCTGAGATCCTGGCGTCTCCACTTTCTCGGGCCGGGCGTGTTCGCCCTTTTGAGGGCCATGGGACCCTCACAGATCGATCCGGATCGAAAAATGATGCAGAACGATGGGTCTTCGGGCGTGTTTTTTAACGATGTTGCAATGTTTTGGCTACGTCGGATCTCAGGGAGGGTTAATTCGTTCCAGAGCGTTCCGGAACGCTGTCAGAGCGTTCTGGACGCTCCGAGACGGCCGCGGCGCCTGATGCCTCTTCCAGAGCCGCTGGATCTCAGAGATTCTCAATGTGTTCCTCACCCGAATTCATCCTCGTCTTAGCCTCGTCTTAGAAGTGGGGAGTCAAGTCCGGCTTTTTGGGCCTTTGTTTTCGGGACCCAGGACCATCAGAAATTGTTCCAGGGCGAACAACGACCCCCCTTCGGAAGCGGTGAGACTTGGGGCCGCGTGTGGACTGTTTCTCCGAAGGGCTGAGGCGACCTGTCCTCCTCCTCCTCCTCCTCCTCCCCCTGCTGCTGCGCTCGCACCAACCATCCTCCCCCTCCTCCTCCTCCTCCTTCTCCTCCTACTCCCTCCTCATCCCTCCCCCTCTTCCATATCCTCCTCCATCTCCTCCTCCTCCTCCTCCTCCTCCTCCTCCTCCTCCTCCTCCTCCTCCTCCTCCTCCTCCTCCACGGGTCGCCTACGGCCCCGGGGGGACACCGTGCAGCCGCGTGGTGAAGAAATCAGATCGGGGATGACAGGGAAGAGGTCCAGATTGCAATTGTGTCCTGAGCGTTTTCGCATTTTCCTAGTTCCTGGGTCACTCCACGGACCCCAGGGCGGTCAAAATAACGATTCAGGGTGAAAAGCTGGTCCTGGGGAGCCCCCCTGTGTGGTCAAGGACCAATTTCATCAGGACCCGTCTGCTTCATACCAAAGAGGTGTCCGCTGCCACACGACGCATGGCAGCGGCGGTGGCGAACATGCAGCAGATTCCCACGGTCTCCGCCGCCTCTGCTCTGCCCGCTCCCAAGAAGCAGGCGGAGCAGCAGGAGGAGGACGGCCCCGGGAACTACCGCGTCATATCGGCAGGGCCGCTCAAGGCGCTCCCTGTGAGCCAGGACTACGCCCGCACCAGCCCGAAGGTGGGGGAGGTGGCGGTGCAGCAGGAGGTGAGCGTCCTGGAGGTGGCCGCGGAGCTGAACGACGGCAGGAGGCGCGCCCGCATCGACGGCCCCGTCGGTTGGATCACCCTGCTGGACACCAACAGCGGCTTCCGCTTTGCCACGAAGCAGGCGTCCACGCTGGCCGAGCCCGCGGAGCCCGCGGTGAGGCCTGTTGGAGTGGCGCCTCCTGGGAGCCCTGCGGTGAAGCCTGCTGCACAGGGGCCCGCCGCTGCTGAGGCCGAGGAGGGGAAATATACGAAACACGCTCATAGTCGCTGATTTCCATGGGAGGTGCAGGGGAAGAACAACATCCAGGACATGTGGAACATATCAGAACTCCTGTTCCCCTGGGCCCCTTGATTTTGCGCGAGAGTCACTTTAAGAATGAGTTGTTGTCTCCCCAAACCACGAACGTCTATTGTTGCTTACTCGTGGTCGCCAGTCGGCGCGAAGAGGGACACTGATAAACTTTCCCAGGCGCTGATTGGCGCTTGCAGGGACACTGATGAACACCACTCGGGCGCTGATAGGGACGGTGAGAAACACCTGATCGGCTCCAGCAGGGCGGAACCTGTCTTGAAACCACTCCTCGGGAGCCTTGAGACGGGGGTCAATGCAAACGGGGGTCAGCCAGGGCACCAGATCCTGCAGGATCCTGCGAAGACCCCCTCTGGGTGACCCGGGTTGTTAGCGAGCCGCTCGTGGCCGCGAGGCGGCCGCGCATATTGGCTGACTCGGGTTTGCGAAGATCTGCGTTGCAGTTTTTTGTTTCCTGCACTGCAGTTTTTGGTTTCCTGCTGACCCGGGCCTGGAGTCTGGATTGACCCGGGTCAGAAGATCCCCGGACTCCACACGCAGTGCACACTGGGGGAAGCCCTGCAGCCCAGGGGCCCACCGCCGCGGCGCCCGCCGCGCCGGTGCCCCCCGCGGCGGAGGCCGCCGCGCCGCCGGCGCCGCCCGCCGTGGCGTGCCCCGAGGGGCACCCGCTGGCGCCGCTGGTGGCGCCAGGCTGGGGCTCGCCTGCAGGGGCAGCGGCAAGGGGGGGGGGTTTGCCCGTAAGGCGGGCCTGTCCCCCTACAGGGGGATGTTCGACGAAAAATGAAAGGTACCCCCAAAATAGTCCAAAAATACTTCAAAAATAGTCTGGGGACTATTTTTGGAGTATTTTTCAACCTTTTTGGGTGTATTTTGGAGGTATTTTTTTTATTTTTCGTCGAAGCTCTCCCTGCAGGGGGACACGCCCGACATAAGGTTAGGCACAGGGGGGGCATCTAGTGGCATATAGTGGCGAGCACGTGAGGTTCGAGGTTTTTGAGGTCTTCCTGCGTGTGCGTCGGCTCTCAGCGGCGCTCCGGCCCCAGGAGGCTCTCCAGCAGCTGCGCCTCGCCGGGGGCGCTCCGGGGGTGCTTAAGGACTGTCCCGATCACGGCCGCGGGAGGGCCGGGCTGTGGCCCGGAAACCACCAGGCACGGGGATGGGCTCCGGGTGGATGCATCGACCCCGAAGGTTGATCGCAGATAGTCGGGGGCGGCAAAGAGGGGGGTGATGACTAGGGGGGGTGGATATCATGGCGGGGGCCATAATATCTCCCCAGATTTCATGGCGCCTCTTCTTATTTCCTTACGTCCCTGGCCCCCCCGCAGGGCCGCGCACATGCCGCCGGCCATGATTTGCACCCCCCCTCTTGGACGCCCCCCTCTTTGCCGCTCCCGAAAGGTTGATCGCAGATAGGGGCCCGATAGCACCGATCTGCCCAGGAGAGTTCGGATTCACCGTCGGGGCCTATCGCCGATTTATCGGCGATCTATCGGCGAAGTACCGCCGATTCCAGGCCGATGTGCCCCCCTAGACGTTTTCAAGGCGCACAGCAAGGATGCGCTTGCATGGTGAGGGCCTCAGAGGGCCACGTTGGCGTTTCCGAGCGGGGTTAGCCAGCGAAAGTCGCCAAGGATTGACCGAAGGGGCAGGGATGCAAGGGTAGTCTCGGAAAGTTGCTCATCCTTGCTATGCGGTTTGATTGAATCACATCTATCCGTACCCGCAGCCTCACGGGCCGGGCCCCTGGGCCGCGACCCCGCGGATATGGGGCGCTGTTTCGCGGATGTCTCGCGCGGATGCATTGCGACAGCGTATTTGCGGCATCGCGCCCCGGAATGCGGACCGCGAGGGCGCGGATACGGATATGTTCGCCGCTCGTGATCGACGCCTCCGACTCGATTGTCTTCGATTTGAGAAGAGGAGGAGGAGGAAGAGGAGGAGGAGGAGGAGGAGGAGGAAGAGGAGGGAGAGGAGGAGGCGGAGGAAGAGGAGGAGGAGGAGGAGGAGGAGGAACAAGAATAATAATAATCAGATGAGGAGGAGGAGGAGGAGGAGGAGGAGGGGGAGGAGGAGGCGGAGGAGGAGGAGGAGGAGGAGGAGCAAGCTCTAGGAGTTTCGGGCGTGTTTCTCGGATCGGCGGTGGTCGCCCTTGGCGGCGCCTCTGGCGCCGCCAGGGGCGCGCTCCGCGCGCGGGGCTCGGCACAGACCCAAGAAACCCGTGCGGACCTCCAAAAGTTGAGGTTTCTGTTATGTTTGCTATGTGTGTTCCTTCCTCTGGTTATTTGCGTTATTTTTGTTATTTCTGCTATTTCTGTCAGTTCTGTTATGTGTGTGTTATGTTTTGATATTTTTGAGATTCCGATCCCGATTATACCTGACCTCGAATCCCGATCCTGGCCGCGGCCTCTCCGTGGAGGCCGTGCCCCCCTGCCGAGCTCCGCCGACTCCGGCCCCTCCCCACGGGGCTCGGGCTGCCGAGATGTCCGCCGCTGCGGTCGGCTCCGATCGCCCCTCTCGACTAGACGTAAGAGTGACCTTTCGCCGGAGTGACTTTTGGTGCGTGCACAATGAGGTTCCCCGATCGCCGAACGCGATGCGATAGTAGCGCCTGGCGCGCCTGTGTTTGGCCCCCCCGCCGCCCCCAAAGAGCCGCGCACCAGAGGTCCCTCTTGCCCAGGCTCACTCCTGCGTGTAGCCGACCATCCGACTCCGGGCCAGGCTCGGGCAGCTGCGACAGGTGCCAGGCCGAGGTGCCCGAGAGGCGCGCCGCCCGAAGATGCTCGCGCCCACCGCTGCGGAGTCTCGTGGGCATATGGGCCTCTGCCCGCCCCCCCCCGCAGGGGTGGGCAGGTGTCCGTCACGGGAGGAAGAGGGAACCGAGGCAGGTCTGTGGCTCTGCTCCCCCCACCCAGAGCTTTTCTCGGCGTGGGATAAGCTCCGCCCATCGTCCTCTTGCTCCTCTTGCTCGTCGTCCCTTTCCTCATACTCCTCCACCTCCTCCACCTCATCCTCCTCTTCCTCCTCCTCCTCTTCCTCCTCCTCCTCCTCCTCCTCCTCCCCCTCCGCCACTCCCCCCCTCTTGCCATCCATACCGCTACCCTTCCCTCGGGTTCGCCTTTTTGGGCCTCCTCGGAGGCCTTGCCGCCACCGCTGGATTCGCCCCGAAATCCGGGTCAGAACGCACCCAGGCAGAGGTCCAGGGCGCAGTGGCATCGGCACCTTCTCGCTTCCCCTGCCCACGTCCGCCGGCCCGCCCGTGGGCGGGCATAGATCCACACGGGCGCGCGGGTAGTTATGCGCCGCTCCCCGAGTCCCCAGCGCCCCTGTTGGGGCCAGCGGCGAGGTGGGGCCACCGAGCGGTGCAGCAGGCGGCGGGGCGGATCTGTGGCGAGCAGAGGCTTCAGGCTTTTCAGTCAACGCGCCCAGTAAGGACGCGCGCCTTCATCTAGGATGCCCTTGCGTCCTTGCCTCTGTGGCCCGTCCTTTGCCGGTTTCACTGGTCGCCGCCGCCCAAAAAATCCCAACTTCAGCCTCCAAGGGTCTTGCGTCCTTACCACGCGTCCTTACGTTTTGACTGTTGGGGCGCAGGCGGGCGAGAGGCGAGAAGAAGGAGTGCCGCGGGACGGCCAGAGAGCCCTCAGATCGTGCTGCTTCTTCTGCGTTGAGCCCCCGCCTGCGCCCCCCGGGCCTCGGCTCGCCATTGGTACGTTCAGCCCGCCGTCTGTTCCGCCGCTTGTTGGGCCCGACTCGCCGCCGACCAAACAGGAGCCCTGGGGACACCGGGGAGCGGCGAATGTCTGCTTGCCCACGCCGATCTCTGCCCGCCCACGGGCGCGCCGGTGCATGTGGATGTCCGCCCGCCCGTGTGGGCGAGCAGACCTTCGCAGCCACGAGACTCCGCAGCGGTGGGCAGGGGCACCTTCCGGCGGCGCGCGAGGGCCGAGGTGCTCGAGTGCGGCGTGTGCAACTGGTGGCTCTGCCAGGCCTGCGCCGCGCGGGAGGCGCCGGGCCTGCGGGCCGCCCCCGCGGCGGAGGCCGCGCCGCAGCCGGCGCTGCGCGTCACGCGCGCCGGGGCGAAGCGCCTCCCGAGGCTGGCCACGCCGGCGCCGTGCTCGGAGGACTCGAAGATTCAAGCAGTGGCGAAGCGTCCAAGCTCGCCTACAGGCCTACCAAATAATGTTCTGAGAACTCTTTTGTGGTCTGCACGGCATGTTCTCAGAACATGTCTGGCCGGGTCTGTTCTGTTTCAGCACATCGGGTTCGATGTTCTGAGGACATTGTTTTTGTTCTTAGCTCAATTTGGGGTTCTACGAACATTCCGTGGTAGGCTTACAGGAATGCCGGGACAGTCGGCCCCTGCTCAAACGATCGGAGGAGGAAAAGGTACCCTCACCGCTGCCCTGCGCCCGTTTGCTCCTTGTTGGGCCTCCTGGGAGGCCAGCGTCGCCACCGCTGGATTCGCCTCGAGGTCCTGGTCAGAGCGCACCCTGGGAGAGGTCCGGAGAGTAGCGGTGTCGGTGCCTTTCGGTTTCTCCAGAATCGGCACGATCGGTCGAGAGAAAGTCGCATATTGGATCGAGGGTAGACCAGCGAGTATAACTCGACGATTAGTGCCCAAGAGCGCTCGATGGCGCCAAAAAGCACGCCATCGCGCCCAAGCAGCGCCAAATAGCGCCCAAGTGCGCCCAGTGGCGCTGTGTGAGGGGGACGCACTATGTCCGATTTGCGCACGCTTGGGCGCGCTATTGGGCGCCGTGGGGGCGACCAAAAGGTTTCCCGAGTTCCGTCCTATCGGTCGAGACGGATACGAAAAGAATGAGGACGACAACCGACAGCAGCTTCTGCCCATGTTGAACAGTTCTCACTGTCGGTGTTACCGCGGACGCTGTCCACTTGAGACGGAAGTGTAGCCTGCCCACTAGCCGCCGCTGGCGATGTTGGACACACTTACGCTGGGCATCAAAGCACTCCAAGAATCGGAGGCCCAAATCGGAAGAGGCAAGGTACTGGTACCGCTACTCGTCCTGAAGAGCCCTCGTCACCTTTGAAAAGATAATCCCGATCTCTCTTCGATGGTGGTAATACTCGGGCTTGTTGGGCAACCGAAGGATTACCACCATCTTCAAGATAGTGGCAGGAATTTCTTCTCCTGGTGGAGACACCCCTGTCTTGGTGTTGGTGCCAATCCCCAGGCCTCCAGACGGATGAGGAGAAGCGATATTAGTATAAGCTGGTGAAGACCCGCGCGTTACTTGGATCGGTGTTGGGCCCCCCTGGCGACGCCCCTCAGCGTTGACCCTGGTGCACATTGTGAAGGCCTGACGGCCGGTGCCGCCGACCCTGAAAGACATCGGCGACGACCTGGAGGGGGAGGAGGAGGAGAAGGAGGAGGCGGAGATAAGGAGGAGGAGGAGGAGGAGGAGGAAGAGGAGGCCCCTCAGCGTTGACCCTAATGCACTTTTTGTTGTGCCCCTTCGACAGCTGTATGCCTGTGCACCTTGTCCCTTGTGGTGCCAGGACTCGCCGCGCCCAGCCAGCGCGCTCGCCGGCCGGAGGCCGGCCGACTCGCCGAGCCCGCTGCTGAAGAAGACGGTGAGCTTCGACGAGAAGGACTTCGGGTATAGCCAGGACCCCAGGTGAGGGGACCCGGTTAGTAGTAGGCCCCCTTGGCCCCTTACATTGGCCAGAATCACTAAACCAGGTCTGCCGTAGCTGGTGTTTTCTCGGGTGACGGCAGTTCCGGTTAGTGGAACGGGACAGGGGGGGCGTCCCTCAGTACCCATCACTAAACCAGGTCCCACTAAACCCAGTTCTGCCAACGCCCGACTGGAGAGGCGCAAGCGGCGGCGCACCTGGGAGGGAAGTGAGAGGGGGCCAGGCCTTCTTTGAAGGCGACCAGACTTCTCAGAAGCACTCCGGCCTTCTGAGAAAAGATGTTTTTGGGGATATTCAAAGACTTGTCAGAAGGCGCGAGGGCTTCTGAGAAGCCCAGCCGTCTTCTGAGAAGGCCTGCCCCCTCTCACCTCCCCCCAGGCTCGCCGCCAACGTAAGGTCGGCGTCACCCAAACAGATTTGGCCCCGCCATTTTTCTGACGGCCCCCGTCACGCAAACTCTCTGGGAGGAGGACCAGTGGAGACAAGGGCGCCTTCTTGCCTATCGCCCCGACCCTCTCAGAGTCGATGCCGTAACTGTTTCTCCTGGGCCCTTCTCGACTCCGTTGTCGGGGCCGAGCCAGCCGTGACGGCGAGAAGCGTCCCGGAGGCCCAGGGACGAAGCACAGCGCCATGGGGGGGGGCGCCGCTGCCTCGACAGGGGCCTGCAGGAGGGAAACACACACACAGACACAATGGATCGCCGATCCCCTAGAAGATATGCGAACACGTGGGAAGTGGGGGGGGGAAGACGAACACCCAGAAAATGTGGGAAAAGATGGGGGATCCTTTGATCTGTGTCTATTTATTGGTGTGTGTCCCGGGGCCCCTTGGGGACTGTCGGGGTCCTCCGAGGCAGGCCAGCTCGCGTCCCCCGAAACGCGAGCCTCGCGCCTCTCTTATGTCGGGCGTGTCCCCCGTACAGGGGGATTTTCGAGGACAAATAAAACAAATACCTAAGAAATAGTCCAAAGATAGTCCTGGGGACTATTTTTTTTGCGTTTTTTGTTGCCCTTTTGGGGGAATTTGTGGTGTATTTTTCATCTTTCGTCGAAAATCCCCCTGTAGGGGGACACGCCCGACTGAACGCTTCTCGGGGGCAACGTGGCAGGGGCGGCGGGTGCCGGCAATGGCCGTTATCGCGAAACATATCGGGCGGGGGGGATGGGTGGTGATGTAAATTCGGGGGTGGACAGACCTCCTAATTACCCTGACAGGTCGATTAAGGAATTTTCCGTTTTCGGTTCGCGAGAGGGCGTCGCGGCCGTCATTTTTGCGGGTCCAGGTTCGTCGGTTTCGGTCCCAGGCCGTTTTCATTAAGGGGAGGTTTACTAAAGGGACGTTTGTCCACCGCCGATAAATGGGGGGTGAAGCAAGGTGCCATCAAGGGGGCCCTCTGAGGCCCCTGGTGGCTCCCAGGCCCTCGAGGGCCCTTGTTTTCACTTCCCATTTCTATTTAGGCCGCCCTCCATTTACCACCGTTCCGAACAAACATAGAGAAAAAAACTCTCCCCATGTCTTTGTCTCTCCTGGAAAGGAGGAAGTTCGGCAGATCGCCGCGCGTGGCGAGGAGTCCCCGTACAGCCCAGGGGCGGACGAGGCGCTCGCGCAGGAACCGGATGCGCCGCCGCCGCCGCCCGCGGGCGCCGGCGCGGCGCCGCAGCCGCCGCAGGAGGATCAGTAGGGACAACGTCATCAATCGGCGGCGAGCGAGGGGGGGGAAGTGAGAAGGAGAAGGCCTTCTCAGAAGGCGGCGTGGCTTCTCAAAAGGTCTCCGGCCGCCCGAGAGGGTTCCTGTGTCTTCGGGGGAGGCTTAATTGGAAGAATTCTCAGATGGCCGGGGGACTTCAGAGCAGTCTACCAGATCTCTGACAATACAGTCAAGTTGCTGCAGCAAGGACCTCTTTGGGTTCGGAAGGGGCTCGATGTTCCTGAGGTCCTTCTGTGGTTGTTCCTCTATAGCCCTCTGGGCCTCCCAATCCTTGGAGTAGGCTGGGGTCTGAGGTGGCCCACCACCTGGTTCCGGCGAGCAGGAAGGGGCGGGGTTCGAGGTTCTGTGCTCGGGCAGGTCTCTTACCTTATTTGCCCCCCGGGGCCGTTTTCGGGCTCCGGGGCATTGAAAAACGGATCCGGGCTGAAACATTGTACCACGTAGACCCCGGGAGGAGGAGGAGGAGGAGGAGGAGGAGGAGGAGGAGCAGGAGGAGGAGGAGGAGGAGGAGGAGGAGGAGGAGGAGGAGGAGGAGGGGTATGGCTCCGATTCTGAGCTAATTTGGCCTCATACCCCCTCCTGGCCGATGATGGCCGATGCTCTGGGGCCCCGACCAGCTCAGACCCCCCCAGCCGCCTCCAAGTCAAGACTCTCCCAGCCCTGAGCTCCGACCATAGCCTATCTTGGCATCGCTCGGGCGTGTGCATGTTTCCTTCGGCGGGCCACCACGCTCACCCCCAGGGGCGCGAAGATAAGCACAGCGCGCTTCGCACGTCGCAGCCTGGGCCAGAGGCTGGCCTTCTCCAACGGGGCGTGACGAGGGCGCAAGGGCGCGAAGATGATCGCGCATGGCGGGGCGCGATGCGCGATGTCAGGTCACTTTGGATACGAGTTTTCGCCAGCCTGAGGTTTTTCCTCGATCTGGGCCTCCGGGGCCCGCCTTCGGGACCGTGACCATCAAAAAATGGCCAGGGACGAAGAACTGTCCCTTGGGAAGCGGCGGTCGCTCCAAGACCAAGCCATGCTCGCGTCGTGAAGAAAGCACGACGGAGGATGTCTCGCTGTTTCCGGCCTCCAGGGGCCCCCATTGGGGTCCGAGTAGTCAGATCGATCTCCGACGGTACGATACTGTCAACTGGCGTTTTTCCTCGGTTTGGACCTCTGGGGCCCGCTCTCGCGCCCCAGGCCCATAAAATCACTCTCGGGGACGATTTGGCCCCTGGGGGCCGGTCGGGACCCCTGGGGTCCCGGTAGATGTGGTCGAAGGCCGGCGGCCAGCGAGGGGGGGAAAGGAGAAGGGGGAGGCCTCCTTCTCAGAGGTCTCCTTCTGGGAGGAGGCCTCCTCCTCTGCTCAATCGTTGTGTTCATGCCATTGCCTTGTTCCCCATTAAAAAAACACTGCAAATATCTGATCCCGACACGTGGTTCCCTGGACCAGGCGAGGGCACCCAAGGGCAGAACACTGGCACAACCTGTCCGTCGATAGGTTTCACGGGGCCCAGAAGTATACACCACCACCACCTCCCTCATCCCCTCCCTCTCCCAGGAAAGGGGAGAGGAGGATGAGGGTGCAGGAGGGAGGGCGAGTCGACGTGGTGGTGGTGTATATTCTTGGGGCCCGTAGGTTTGCACGGCGCGAGCAGTCTGGGGATGGCTGCGAGGCGTATTCTCTTGCACCGCTGTGTTCGAGAGCTCGGACCTCTTCATTTTCGGCGTCGTCGTCGGTCGTTCGCTCGTCGTTCGTCCTCCCCCCTCCCCCCCGGCCACGGAAGGAGACTCTTGGAGGAAGGAGGCGAGAGCTTCCTGTCCCTCGCAGCACCCTTGGTGCAACAGAGCCAGGGCACGCGTGCCGCTTGTTCTCGCATCCCCTCACTACAGACTGCATTTTCGAATCGCCTCTCGTCCGCCCGAAGAGAGGACGCCGGCCACTCCGAGGCGGCGCTCCGCATCACGCGCCCGAACGCGAACGTGAAGAGGCTGCCGAAGCTTGGCGGCCACTGGGTCGGCCGAACGGGGGGGTCAGCTTGGTCAAGTATATGGACAGCTGTATTACAAATAGCACGCATCTATACATATATATATATATGTATATATATATATATATTCATATACGTGCACACACGTACAATGCATTCATTGATATGTATGTATGTATATATATATATATACATGTACATTCGTAGGGGCAACGTCAGGGGGTCCGAGACTCGGGCGTGGCACGCATCGGCCCGCAATCGCCCAGTCGTCGCCAAAAGGATTACCATCCTGGAACATATCCCTATCCCTATGCTGGGCATCTCCTCATCACGATGCCAATCTCAGGGATTCCCCTATTTTTTGAGGGCGCATCCCTGAGATTGTCATCGCCTTTTGGCATGCAAATCTTAGGGATAGGGATATGTTCGAGGCTGGTAAAGAGGGGCCCGAGGGCCCATTCCCGCCCATGACCCTTGCGGAGTCACCATCGGTAGGGGAACAAAAAGTGACAGAAACGTACAAACTCGGAGGTCCGCGCGGATTTCTCGGATCGGCGCCGGGGCCCCCTGGCGGCGCCTCTGGCGCCGCCCCTGGCGCGCTCCGCGAAATCCGCGCGGACCTCAGAGTTTTTACGTTCATGCCAGTTTTTGTTCCCCCCATCGGGGGCCTATGGCCGATGCATCGGCAAGGCATCGCCGATTGGAGCCTGAGGCTCCCGCTCCTGAGAGCCCGTCCTCCCCCCCTGGGGGGTGCGGAGCTCGCTGGTATGCAGCTGGTCACGGGATGGCAAGCCCAGCTCTCCGGCGGTATCTGTTCCACTGGTCGGGGGCGGCCGAGCGGGGGGTGATGACCCCCCCGTGGGCGCGCCGCCGGGTCTCCTCCCGGCCTTTTGGGAGGGCAGGGGAGGCGACCCTTGGGAGTCGTCGGGGACGGAAAAGAGGGGGGTGATGACCAGGGGGGGGTGGATATCATGGCGTGGGCCATGATAGTTCCCCAGATTTCATGGCGCCTCTGCTTATTTCATTACGTCCCTGGCCCCCCCGCTGGGCCGCGCACATGCCGCCGGTCATGATTTGCACCCCCCCCTCTTGGACACCCCCCTCTTGGCCGCTCCCGAACTGGAACAGAAGTCATCCGGGAAGAAACTACCCTCGGGGAGCCGGTCAGGACCCCTGGGAGAGTGAGTGCGCGCGGACGACAGGAGGAGATGGGGACGGGGGGGGTGCGGAACTTGCTGCATGCAGCTGCTCACGTTTCTCGGCACGTATGGTCGTTTGTGGCGCCGGGAGGCGCCAAGACAACCAGCCACGTGATCTGATTTGGACGCCCGAAATGGGCACGGAAAAAATCGGCACAATGCCCAACAACAAATGCTGTCCCAAACCAACAGCGGCCGCTGTTGGGCAGGCGGCCTTCTGTCTCGAATGGGCACAGGCCGCGGCGGCGTGGACAGCGAGTCCTGTTCAAAATGCACAGAATCCGCTGTTGGGCATTGTACCCATTCTTTCCGTTCCCATTTTGTTCGTGCAGATCTGATGCGGTAGCCTCCCCCCTTCCCAGACATCCTCCGAGATGTGTTTGTTCAATCCGCGGCCCCAGGGGTCCCGGCCGGCGCCCAGGGGACAGTTTTCCGTTCGGGATCCTTTCTTTACAGTTTCGGGGGCCCGAAGCGAAGTTGATTCGTTGACCTCCCCTCTGCTACAGTCAAGGCGCTGGAGAAAGGACCACTTCGGGTTCAGGAGGGCCTCTGGTTTTTGAGCCCTTCCTTGTATATATGTCGGTAAAGCGATTCGCGGCCGAGATTCGTCGCGGACAGGATCGCCGTGTCGTTCCATATTCAGCGTTCCTTTGGCAGTATGATTGTATTCCCCTTCTCTTCCAAGTGACAGGTTACAAATTGTTGACGCTTCGCGTATCCCCACCAGCCCATCCAGAAACGATGCTCAGGGGAGTTGAGGTGATCAGGGAAGTCGAGGAGCATGCAGAATAACAAAGGGCGGGGGAAGCTGTCACAGACCCCGAGAGGGGGAGGATGGAAGAGGAGTCGTCGTCGTCGGAGGAGGAGGAGGAGGAGGAGGAGGAGGAGGAGGGGGAAGAGGAGGAGGAGGAGGAGGAGGAGGAGGACGGAGAAGGAGGAAGAATCGGAGGAGGAGGAGGAGGAGGGGAAGGAGCTTCTTGGGGGTCTTTTGAGGGCCTCTTGGAGGGCTTTTTGGGCGCCTTGGGGCATCTTGGGCGCCTCTTGGGACCCTCTTGAGGCGCTCTGGGGAGCCTTCGGGGCGCTTTTGGGGCCATCTTGGAGGGAGTCGATCAAACAAGAGGGGGGGTTTAATTAGCGTCCCCCCTCGGAAGCCCCTAAAATCGCCTCTTGGACCCCTCTTGGAACGCTCTTGGGCTCTTGGGGCGCTCTTGGGGCTCTCTTGGGGCCCTCTTGGGCCATCTTGGATCTTGGAATCGGAAGCGAAGCGAGAAAGCAAAAATCATTGATTTTCCTTAGGTTTTGGGACGATTTTGGCCTCTTCGGGGCCTCCTTGGGGAGCTGTTTGGCCACTTGGAGTTATCTTGGGGCCGTCTTTGGGCTTCTTGGAACCATCTTAGGAGCCATCGTGAGCGATCTTGCGCTATCTTGAGCCATCTTGGAGCTCATCTTGGGTTCTCTGAGGCGCTCTTGGAGCCGTCTTGGGCCATCTTGGACGCTCTAACTACCCGCGGCCCCCCCCGTCCAGGTCCAGGGGAGGGGGTAGGGGGAGGGGTAAACCCCTCCCCAAGGGGGAAGAGGGAGGGGTGGAAGAGGATCTGCTCTAGACCACCTACGCCCAGAGGGCTGGTGGGATTCATACCGTCGGATATTTTCTTCATTCAAGACGTGGGTTCCTCAAGGAAGTCCGGGCCCTTTTCCCCGGACCAGTTTCTCATCCCTAGTCGTTTTCTGAAGGTCCCCAGGCCTGGTGTGGGAACCCTGACCCGAAAATAATCGGGGGCGGCCAAGAGGGAGGTGATGACTAGGCTAGGGGGGGGGATCTCATGGCGGGGGCCATGATATCTCTCCAGATTTTATGGCGCATCTTTCTGATTTTTTGGCGCCTCTTTCTATTTCAATCCGTGCCCGCCCCCCCCTCCCTTGGGCCGCGCACGTGCCGCCAGCCATGATTGGCGCCCCCCTTCTTGGACCCCCCCCTCTTGGACGCCCCGATTCTTGTTCATGACCAGGATGCAACTCCTGGGAGGTTAATGAATCGGCGCTGGTATATCCTTGGTTCCTGGTCGATAATTTGCTTTATAGGGCTTAATCCGGCTGATGCACTCCCGCTAAGTCCGGCTCAATCCGGAGCTCCTTCCGGCCTAATCCGGCTCAGAGGTCCCTTAATCGAGCTTATAGAAGCTTTTAAACCGTTCCGACGCAGACCTCTCAGGAGTTGCCTCCTAACAAGGGGGTTCGGGCCTCTCCTCCTCTCCCAGACCACACAGGGCGGCAATTTCAGCCTCGGGAAACTGAGGCGGATACACCAGGAAGCCATGGCGGGCACAGTAGGGCGGAAATCGACATCAAGGGAGCTCGAACAGTAATCCGCCCTCCTCACAAAATTGCCCAGAGTACGGCGGATTCGGAGGCAGTCGAAGAATAAGAAGAAACACATGCATGAACAGACGCTTTCGGAGGCGAAGATTCCTTGGATCGGCGCTGGACCCTCCCTGGCGCGCGAGGCGCGCCAGGGGCGGCGCCAGAGGCGCCGCCAGGGTGCTGCAGGGCCAAGTATTCAGTTGTTTGGTATCTCTACTCGGGATCTCTTTGGGGACCGCCTTTCTTTTGCGGCGCTGCCCAACAAGGCCCGAACCCCAAAAACGACCCCACGCCCCTTGGCGGGGCGTAAAAAGCTTGTGTATCTGGGGGCCCTGGACAGCATTGGGCTCGGGCCGCTGCGTAAGACAGCCTAAGACCGAGCCCATGCTTGAATGGTGTACCATGTGAGTGTCTGTACAAGGAGGTCTCCACCCATGCTCCATACCGCTACTCCTCGGACCTCTCACGGAGTGCGTCCTGACCAGAATTTCAAGGCGAATCCAGCAGTGGCGACGAGGGCCGCCCAGAAGGCCCCCAACGGCGAAGGGTAGCGGAGTCGGTATATTTTCTTCCCAGGAGTCGATGTCCGCTCGTGTGTTTTTTTCTTCGGCAGCTCGCCCGCAGTGTATCGCGCGTGCGCCGCCTGCCCGTGCCCTGCGTTTCCCGCCTGCCCGTCCCACCCCCCTCGGCGCGCTCGGACCTCCTGCGTGATGGGGTGTGGCCCTCCTCGCCCGTCTCCCTGCTCCCAGTTTATTGCTCTCCCGTTCCTCCTCCCCCTCCTCCTCCTCCTCCTCCTCCTCCTCCTCCTCCTCCTCATCCTCATCCTCATCCTCATCCTCATCCTCATCCTCATCCTTCTTCTCCTTCTCCTCCTCCTCCTCCTCCTCCTCCTCCTCCTCCCCCTCCTCCTCCCCCCCTCCTCCTTCTCCCTCTCTCCTACTCCTCGTCTTCTTCCTCCTCCTCCTCCTCCTCCTCCTCCTCTCCTCTCCTCTCCTCCTCCTCCTCCCCTCCTCCTCCTCCTCCTCCTCCTCCTCCTCCTCCTCCTCCTCCTCCTCTTCCTCCTGCTCCCTCTCCAGACTGCTGTGCAGACACAGCAGATTCCTGAGGCCACGGCCTCGCCCGCCTGGTCTTAGCCAGGCCCGGACGGTGTCCGCAGCGGAGGTCGTTCGTTCGTCCCCCTCCGGACTGCCTGGACCCCCTGACCCTTGGATGGGGGTTTGCCTCGCCTCTCTCGCTCCTGGCCGCCCTCGCCGCCCTCTCGTCTCGTGGGGCCCGTGCGCTCAACCCCCATCCTGAAGTCGGGCCTGTCCCTCTATAGGAGGAAGATTCAAAAATGGTCAAAACATAGTCTGGGGACGATGTGTTTCTCCATTGTTGCCCATTTTAGGGGGGCATTTTTTTTAGCATGTTTTGTTTTTCGCCCAGAATTCGGGGGTGGACAGAACCCCCAACAGTGACACGTCGATTAGTGAATTGTCCGTTTTCGATTCTCGAGAGGGCGCCGCGGTCGTTCTTTTCCAGGCTTGCGCCCGCCAGGTTTAGGCCCCAGGTCGTTTTCACCGAACCACGTTTTGCTACAGGGAGGCCTGTCCATCACCGAAACGTTTTGCTACAGGGAGGCCTGTCCATCACCGAAAAAAAAACCCTGTAGGAGGACCGGCCCGACTTGAGCTCAACCCCCCCTGGGGGCGATTTTTGGGGGGCATTTTTGTTAGCATGTTCTGTTTTTCGCCCAAAATCCCGCTGTAGGAGGACAGACCCGACTTGAGCTCACCCCCCCTCCTCAGGACGCCTCCCTCGGTGAAGCGCGCCGCTCTCCCCCGTGGAGGGCAGGAGGAGTGCGCCGCCCTCCACGGAGGAGGGCCCTCGGCCGACCTTCCGGAGGGTCGGCGCGAGGCGCCTCCCCGGCGCGTGCCCGCCGCGCCCAGTCGGGGTCTCTCCTCCGGAGGGCTCAGTTCGACTCTTCCGATTCCGATTCCGATTCGATTTCGATCCGATTTGATTTCGATTCCGATTTGATTTCGATTTCGAAGGATTCCGATTCCGATCCGATTCGATTTCGGGTTCCCACTTGTCGGAGGTGGACAGACCTCCTACCCTGACACGTCGATTGAGGAATTGGCCGTTTTCGGTTCGCGGGAGGGCGTCGCGGCCGTCATTTTGCGGGTCCGGGTCCGTCGGTTTCTGTCCCAGGCCGTTTTCACTAACGGGAAGTTCATTAAAGGGAGGTTTGCCCACCGCCGAATTTGGAGCATGCTCTCGCAGCGGTGGCTTTACCAGCCCGCCGCTGTTCGCCGATCCGACCCCTCCCGACTTGCCTGCTGAGGTCCGCCTCGGGCTTTCCCAGCGTCGCCCTTGGTAGCTTCGGGCCCTCGCTGTTTCGTGGCCCCTTTTCTGTCGGTCGTGTCCCTCCGCTCGTTGCCTGTGGTTCCTGGGTCCGTGCTTCGCTTTCTCTCGGCCCCTCGGGCCCTTCCGCCGCGCGTCGGCTGCGTTCAGGAGTTCTTGTTCTGGCGATGGCCCAAGGATAAACAAAAACAAGTGCCGACTTCCGCCGAGCCGCCTCGCTTCGGTCGCCGATCCCGTCCTCAGGAGAGGAGAGACACAGACACCAGGAATCGTCGAGCCCCACGAGAGTACTTATGGGGAAATATCGGAAGTGGTTGTGTGGGGGGGGAAGACGAGCAGATCCAGAAGATATGGGAGAAAGTGTGGGGCATCCTGGGATTTCTGTGTATGCTTTTATGTTTGTGTGTGTCCCTGTGGGCTCTTTGCTCGGAAACTGGAGCCTATCCATTATCAGCGGCGGGCCCTTTTTAAAATCCCAGGACTTTTTGAGGGTCGGGGACGACGTCGGGGTGGTGTAATGTATACTTGTTCCCCCGCTTTCGCAGGAAGCAGTGGACAATGCATACACCAGGGTCCTGTATGCACCAGGCTCCGCTTTCCTGCGCAAAGGCCCGTGCATGGCAGCACAATAAAGGTCGGTGTATAGAGTACGGTTCCCTCTCTGCGTTCCTCTTGGTATCGCTCGGACGTGTGCATTTATTTTTCCGTCGGCGAGGACCATCGAGGAGCATCCTTGTGATCATTTGGCGAAAAAAAAAAACACGCGCGCAAATGCAAGAGCACAGGGAGATGGACGTCCGAGCGATGGCCAGTCCTCAGCTCGATCCTGGGCACTCGGGCGGCGGCGCTCCGCCCTCTCGCCTGCTCGGCCCTCCCGCCGCTCCTCGGCCCGCCGGCGTTCCCCTCCTCGTCCTCCCTCCTCGTCCTCCTCCATCACGTTCGCCCTCCTCCTCCTCCTCTCCCCCTCCTCGCCGCTCCGCCTCCGCCCCCGAGAGAGGCCATCTGCCCCGCTCGCCGCGCCGGGACGCGCCGCTCTCGCCGCCGCACCCCGCGGCCTCGCGGCGGGCCGACGAGGCGGCGCCGGCGCCCGCCGGCGAGGGGGAGCCCGCCGAGCCCGGCGGCGCCGAGCCGTGCGGCTGGGACAGCGACGAGGAGCGCGAGCAGGGGCGCGAGCGAGACGAAACGGGAGCAGCAGGGGCAGCGATAGCGGGGGGATGGGCATAAGGGGGGGAGGCATCGGCGTCCAGTCTCCCATTGGTGGCCGATGGTGGCCCGATAGCCCCAGCCTGCCCAGGAAGGTGCGGATGCACTATAGGGGGGCCCCTCGCGGATCTATCGGCGATGCATCGCCGATTCCAGGTCGATGCATCCCCCCCTATGCCAGTCTCCCCCTATCGTTGCCCCCCAGAGCATAGAGGGTCCGAGATCCCTTGACTCCACAATTTCCGTCGGGCGTGGGGACGAGTTGTTTTATTTATCTATGTACTATGTGGGAGTTTTTTTGCGTTTTTTTTATTTATCGTCCAAGCTCCGCCTGTACGAGGACATGCCCGACCTAGTTCTAATAGTACCTTGAAGACGTGGCCTCACTGACGTCCCCGTATTTGCATGAGGGATGATACATCTGGACGGCTTGGCTGGGTACATCTGCAGAACAGACCCCCTATCCCGACATGATGTTGGTTCTCCTAACTTAGGTCCTCTCCCAATGGGGTTGGGGTCCTTGTCATGCTAATCATGGGAAGGACGGGGCTGGGACGAGGATCAATTCGTTCCAGAGCGTTCCGGAACGCTCTCGGAGCGTTCCGAAACGCTCTGAGAAGGCCTCGGCGCCCAAGACATCATCCAGAGCCGCCGGATCTCAGAGGTTTCCGATGTATCATCACCCGATGTTGTCTTCTTCGTGGTTTCGCCTTGGCGGAAATAATGCGTACGGCACGTTCATGCGGCGTTGGCGCGCCGGCGACGCTGGCGCAGGCGTTCGAGGTTGGAATCTTGCGACGCGGAAGCGCTGAGGGACGCAGTAACGCCACTGGACCTGACAGAATTCAACCTTGAACAATCGGGGAAGCGATCGTGATTCAAGTCATCGAGGACAAAAGTACCCCTAACCCTAATAAGAGAGCGAAAACGCGATCTCACTGAGGCCTTGTCTTTGGATTCTGGGCGGTTTGGTGTGATACATCTGCAGAAGGCCCCCTATCCTTCATGTGCTTGGCCCTCCTACCTTAGATCACATCCCAAAGGGTTAGGGGTTAGGAGTCCTTTCACTGCTAATCGTTAAGGTCGTACGATCGACGCGGTGTCGGAAACTGTTGCGCGCGCCGACGCCTCACGAACATACCTCAGGAGGGGAAAAAACACACAGACACAGTTCATCGTCGATCCCCCAGAAAATATGGGAAAATATGGGAAGTGGGGGGAAGACAAAAACCCAGAAAATATAGGAACATATGAGGAATGCTTTTATTTGTGTGTATTTATTTGTGTGTCCTGGGGCCCCTTCATTACCGTACGGAGAGAATGGGTACAAAGACCGACAGCAGTTCCTTTTCATTCTGGGCTGGATTCGCTGCTGGCGTCGTCGCGGACGCTGCCAGTTTTGGAGGCAGGAGGCCGACTGCCCAACAGCGGCCGCTGCCGGTTTTGGACGACGTCTGCTTTGGGGCACCGCACCCAGTTTTTCCGTACCCTCTGCGGGCGCCCACAGAGCACGAGAGGGCGTCCGAACATGCTAAGCCAGAGTGTAGGGTTATGATGCTCCAGCCTACTTTAGCCTTGATCACCAGAAAGAAGTTCGAGCGCCAGAAGGAGTACCGAAGCTCAAGGGTTTTCACGTGTCGGGCCCTGGGAGACTCGCCCGACACTGTTTCGACACTCTTTTG